GTATATAATGAGTAGTAGATCTAGTGTCTAATGTTATAAGTTTCAAATAACCAATATGACCTGTTTAAATTTTTTTAATGTAAATAAAATAAAATAAATATTTTTTTTTACAATTGTAGTTTCTACTAAACGTTCAAGAGTACACACAAGTAATACATAAATAAAACAAACCTTTTTTCGAGGGGTTCTCTGGTTGTCTCTAAAGCTTACTGGTAATTCGTTTTGGAACAAAAATCCTCAAAATATGAAACTAAAGGTTTCTTTAAAACCTGAGAGGATTCAGAAGCACTTCTCTAACACAAGTGAATGTGTCTGAACGTGGGCCAGAGGTCTTCTTACCTGTGGCTCGATGTYTCATCAAATATCTTCTCCCGTCCCTCTTTGAAAAGCAGCATGGCTCTGTCCGTCTTATCCAGCAGGTTCCTGATGTGGACCCTCAGGTATGTGGCCTCATCGCCTCGAGGTGCCAGCCCTCCTGATGACCCCAAGCCTCGGTAGGGCTCCCAGACCTGAACGAGGAGCATCGAAGTGTCCTGAATCAGATCAGGTAGGTACGGCGGGTTGTTCCTCAGACCCAGGCGGGGGTTTGTACACAGTTCATTCAGTTTTTGCAGTCTTCTTATGGTCTTYTCCACCAGCCGCAGGTCTTCACTTCTTGGAAAGTGAGAATTCAGTTTTGGGGTAGTGGAGGCTCCCGAACCAGCTCCTGCCATCATGTTGCTGTTGTTTGTTTGAAATTGAAGTGAATCAGCAAATGGCTCAAACGTCAGTGATAGAGTGTGTGTATGTGTGTGTGTGTGAGAGAGAGGGGGGTGATGACAAACACCAATGCTGCGTCAAGAGGTGCAAATGTTTTCAGGCAGATGCTGGGTGGAGCTCTTCAGGTTTTGAGTGTTCACACGGACGTCTGTCCTCTGCACAGTGACTGGCATGTTTCCTCTGCTTGGTTTCAAAGCACTGCATCTTATCTTCGTCAAACAGCATCTAACCATCTACCCATGGAACGGCCAAACAGAATCACTTTTGTTGTCCTGAATGACACATGCAATCACACCCCAAAGGATGCTGGGCACTTAGAGAAACCTCCGCTTTCGTCTTCTCGCTCCTCCACCAGATCTTTGCTCTTCACGAGGTCTACTGCATCTATTTAAAACTTTCACAACTTAGCAAATAAAAACACAAACAAATCTAAAAAAAAAAGATTATGGTTCACGATTGAGGTCCAGCTCTTTAGGTGTCTCAAGTCTGTACCATCTCACCCCCTTCTCTTCTTTTTCTCTACACTGAACACACTTCAGCACTATTTAGCCCCCCATACAGTGCTTACCAGCCTTTCTGTCAGCRGCATAACAGTCCTACATTGTCAGGGTCAACAGAGGAGGTACATCTRCTTGCAGCACAGCGGAAACATGTTGTGTGTCATGGCCTGAAACGGAGCTGCCTCCCCTTCTTCGTCTCTCTTGATGTCACCCTTTCTGCTCTCTCACGTCTTGGCTCAGTCTTTGATTAATTTCCTGGTTGCAACGAGACCAACAGGTTTGTTTTCTTTGCTCTGCTGCTCAGACAAGTAGAGAGAGAGAGAGAGAGAGAGAGAGACTGAGTGAGATAGAAAGATGGGTGGGAAGAAGAAGAAAATAAGGAGGTGTGGACTCAGAACTGAACACAGTAGAATGAAAGCAAGTGTACAAGTCAGTCAGCAACCATAAARCCTGGTTTCCTGAGTTGTAGAAGACGTACCCTGTTGGACAGGATTCTGGTGAAGTGAAAGAAAAAGTCACAGCACCATCAACTTCACTGGCATGTCAGCAGGAAACAATTTACTGTGTAGATGAATGAGTTCAAAGGGCACTTCTTGAGAACTTGACGTGGACTCCTTTGAGCTGTGCCGCTCCGTCAGCAGGTTCAATCCCAGAGCCAGTACGTTGTAAAACGTTGCATTGATTCGAATAATTTAGTTTGCACAATCTCACGTTATCCAAATCACTTTGGTTAAATGCCAGCTTTTCCTCTAGCACCATCGTGAGGTCGGTGTTTGTTATTCAAATTAAAATTGATTGCAGTGGAATTCAGTTCGACACACACAGTCCTGTGCAAAAATCCAGAGTCATCATTCATTTTATTAGTACAGCCTTTCTGAAGGCCTTTCAAAGTTTTTCTTTGGACTTAGCTTGCTTTTTTTCTGTCAAGTATTGTTTTCTTTGGTGGTTTGATAAGTCATGTAACTTTGATCTATAGAAGGTGTGCCACAAAATTCTCTCTGAGAGGGCCGAAATGAAAATCTTTTCAAGGGCTGTGGGCCAAATGCAAAAATATACATGAAATGCAAACACTTTATGAGTAAAGCCCTTTTATTTATCTTTTTTTCTTATGATTAAGCTAGCAGCCAGTGTGGTGGCCCACAAGATTTTTCTTTCATTCTTTTTTTATTAGCCTATGCACTTGGAAAACATTTGACATACGCTCAGGCAGCACAGGATCACAAGACCAATCATAAATTAATAAACTATAAATACTTGTGGTCTTATAAAGTTTGCAAATCTACATGTGTGCTTAAAGCTTATCTACAGTACATGTCTTACCTGTATTCCATGTTTAATCTCAATATAACTCAAAGATAGATTAAGTACTGTGAGTGAAAACTATCTGCATTCTAGAGAAACAGGAGATCACAACGTAGTAACCAGGGCAGTTACTGGTGAGCCAAATCGAGTAGCTTGGTGGGTCAGGCCCCACTGTGGGCACCTCTGATCTTAAACATATTCAGGCGTTAAAAGGCTAACCTTAAAGGGTGACACTCCTTGAAAAATAAAACTGCAGCCAGGTGTTGAACCTGCAACCTTTGGCTGTGTGGCAACAAATATACTGTTCTGACATATTGTACAGATACTGTTGACT